ATGTGACATGTTGTTGATTATTGTGTTGTGAAAAAGAAAAAAATGCTCTAGGTGATTTTATTCCATGCCTTGTGTATTTAAATTACCGTAATTAAATTGCGAAAGCATGGTAAATGTATTACACAAATTTCTCTTAAGTGTGATATGTGGTTTAAATGTGAATATGTGAAGAATTATGGCATGTAAAGGCATGATGCATTCATGCATAGCATTGCGCAAAAATAAAATAAAATAAAATAAAATAAAATAAAATAAATTGGGAAAGAAATGTTTTGAAAGGAAAAAAGGGTGTTAGGAAAAAGATTTGAGAAAAGAATTTTGTGAAAACCTGGACGCCAAGGGAGTACCGAGGGTCCGTGGCGTTAATAAAGCCTAGAGGGAATTAGGGAGATCGCCTTAGCGTGGTTGAGCTATCTGAGCCCCAAATGACGCTGCGGGGGTACCAAGGATCAGGGACAGTAGTCAATCCTTCTCTTGTCGTTGAGGGGTTACCGAAGGGTGTTACATTAACGGTTTGAAAAGTGAAGAATGGAAGTGATTTTAAGTATGGGGAGCGACATTCATGGCATCACATATCATGGCACGTCATTGTTATTTTGAAATTAGATTTGATGTTGTATTCTTTTCCGGCATAGTATGATCCCTATTATCTATTCCTATTCATTACTTGGATTCACGGGGTCACAAGAGGTGTATCTTAGGCACCACCTACTGAGCAATTTGCTCACCCCTTATATTTAATACTTTTCAGGACACGAATGGCAAGTGGCGGACGACGCTCCTCCATAGCGTTTGATGGGTTAGTAGACCGTTTTGACATACTTTTTAACTATAATCTCATTTTATTATTTATTTATTTATTATTACTTATTTTTTTTATAAATCCGGAATGACACGTATAACATGTATTGACGTAAGAAAGAATGGTGTTGTCTCTAGTTAACCTCGAGTTCGGTTAAGGACCCGGCTAACGGTTTGGACCTACGGGTTCGGGTCGTTACAGTTTTGCATGTTGCTTTCTATTCAGGTTGAGACCCTTTTTGTAGACCAATGAAAGTCCCTTAGTGTGGATATATATATGTATGGATTAGATAGATATTGTTGAGATATCTAGGATGTATTTGCGTATCGGGTTTCTGTTTGGATTATAGTTAGAATAGAACTTATTCGTGGATCTGACCCACTATCATTTTTCTTAGGTGTTCGATAGTTCCAGCCGTTGAGTTTGATCGTGCTGAGCAGAGACAGTCACTCATTCCTTCAACTACATAGGATTCTTATTTGTGTTTTAGATTTAGATTTTATCTTCAGTTATTTATTTTCCAGTTGGGAGTTTTATTTAGGGGTCCACTAGATGGATTCCCGAGTTGTTATCTTGGAGGTTTTAGGAAGTTTGGATTATATTAATCTTTAACGTTTGAGGATTTTATATTAATAATTCCTTCAGCTTTATTATTTATTCTTAAATTTTTTTGTATTCTGTATTCATTTAAGTATTAATTATTTGGTATTCCCTCAGGTTTGGACTTAAACCTGATCAACCCATGTCTCGGAGTCAAAGGGTATCACACTAAGTGATTGGGTTCTGAAAAAATCGCCGGAATAGTGGTCAAATGCTAAATTTCCCTTCAAGCGTTGGGATAAAATACGCTCCAACCAAGCTGAGTCCTATAATGCATGGGTGGTAAAAGAGAGGAGTTTATCAATCAAAAGGCTCATGGATTAGCACATGCAAAGAGTGACGAAATTTATGTACACAAAAAGTGAGAAAGTTCAGAAGTGGATCATCCCGGTCAGGAAGCGTATTGAAAAAAAGATCCTAGATGCTCAAAATCTTGCAGTTGGTTTTACTTTGATGCGTGTTTCTAATATTGAGTGTACAGTATATGATCGACAAAGAACACCATTCAAGGTGGTTTTAAGCCCATAACATTATTGTAGTTGTTTGGCTTGGAGCATGACTGGGATTCCTTATTAACACGCTTGTTATGCCATTCAAAAGTATCCTTTGAATATTTATGATATGGTTGAATCCATGGTTGTCAAAATCGCGATTCTGAGTCGTAGAATCGCACGATTCTACGACTCAAAACTCAAAATCGAGTCAAATCGCAGCAGAATCGTTCAATTAGTAGAATCGGGGGTAGAATCGGTAGAATCGGGGGTAGAATCGGAGGTAGAATCGTACGATTCTACACGATTCTACCGATTCTACGAAATTGGTTGTTTGGGCCTTTATTTTTGGGCTTTCTTTTATTTTTTGGTTGGTTTCTTCTGGGCTACAAAATAAAAGAGGCCTGGCCCAAGTGTAGTATACAAAGTTAAATATTTATTCTATAAAAAATAAATTATTTTTCATTAGTGGCAGAAAAAGAAATATATATATGTATATATATCAATTATTTTTACCATGCATGTTGATGTTTCATAATATATTTTTGTGTTTAATTATAAAAAATTAAAATGATCAATTATATCTCAAGGATGCATACTCGTGACTAACAGGTTTAGGCAAATTTTGGTTTCATTTGACTAATTTTTTTTGAAGGCTTATCATATATATTAAAAATTAAAAGTAATTTAAAAGCTTAAAAGACTTGCCGAATATGCCAGCCAATGTATAATCTTGTAGTCTAAACTGATAATATAATGAGATCAAGTTAACGCGTGGTTCATATTTTGTTGTGCTAACTCTTGATTAATTTCATACTTGTGACTAATAAAGTCACATACACCGTAACACTTGGATTGGTAGACAAAAAGGTCTTTTTATTTCTTCAGTTTTCGAAAAAAAAAATTTGCATAGAGTTAAAAAAAAAAAAAAAAAGGTTTACTTTTGATATGTAATTTTATTTTCTAACTTTGAAGATGGATGGGTTAAGATTTGAGATTTGTAAATTCATATTATTTTGAGTTAAATTCTCTTTTATTTATATTCGGACTTTGAAATATTGTTAGGATTTGAGATTTGTGAATTCATGGATATGTAATATTGTGTGTTTTGACCTCATTTTTGTTATATTTTACAGATCTTATTGTTTAAAAAGTTAGTTTCAATTGTTTTTCACAATTTGGTAGAATCTTACGATTCACGATCCGATTCTACGATTCCGATTCTACGGAGCCCAAAACGATTCTGCCTAGAATCCCGATTTTAACAACCTTGGTTGAATCATGGTTTAGGTTGAAACACAAAAGAAACTATGTGAACATCTCATGTCTTCGGTTCCTATGCATGGTATGTCGGTGCTAGATGGTGATGACGAAGAAGAAGATACTTCCGATCTTAGGCCTCCAATGGTAAGACGTCCCCCTGGACGACCCCGAGTTAGACGGATTGAATCACAATTTCAAAATATAAGGCCGATGCACTGTTCACGATGTCGTCAAACCGTTCATAATCATTGAAACTGCAAAGAGGCTATACCGGGATAGGATATTTTGTTTTTAATAATGCAGGAAATTAGTTATGCCAAACTAGCTAATTGGCCACCTATAATTGGACTTTGTGAGTATTATTAACACCTTAGTAATTCTACATTTTTTATTTATTTATTTTGGGTGTGGGATTAAAGTACAACAGTATAAAAATGGTATGATGTTCCTTGAGAAATGCCAGCAAATGCTTTCAACTGAAAACCCAAATCTCTCTCTCTCTCTCTCACACACACACACACATAGCCTCTCTCTACATTTAGATACAGGCACTGTGAGAATTTGGGTTTTGATGCAGAGATGGGTATAAACTCAAACAGAGTGGAACACTTCTCAGGCCATGCAAACCACGAACCCAATGTTACCCTAATCCCAGCACAAGTGCTATTTCCACCACTGGAACTACACCAAGTTTGTTTGCTACCTTTAACAAAAAAAAAAAAAGTTTACTTGCCACCACACACTACCACTCTTCAGAAACTCAAACGCAAACTCTCTGAGATTTTCCACAGATTAAAGGACTAAACATTCCTCATAAAATTGTTTTTGGGTCTTCAGTTTTTCTTTCCTGTTTTTCAATGGGGACCTAATTATAATCCTACCCTTTTAAAGTCTGATATCATCTCTAGTCTCGCCATTGCCAGCCTTGCTATCCTCCAGGTAACACAAACCTTCAATTCTTCTTCCATCTCTGTGTGTGCGTGTGTGTTCTTGTCATATACATAATACATGTTAATGATGTCAGTTGACAAACTTAGCATTTCTCCTCTTTTGGGTTGTTCAAGTTGTGCTCTTTTTATGTGTGTTTGTGTGTGTGTGTGTGTGTGTGTGAGTTTTTCTAAAATGAATTTGGGTTCTATCACACTTATGATGGCCTTTTAAATGGTTCTTTGTTTTTAAATCCATATATTAATTGAGCTAATTGCAGCTATGAAGAATCATACAATATACTTTTATTTGATCTGATTTTGTATTTAATAATGCAGGGAATTAGTTATGCCAAGCTAGCTAATCTGCCACCTATAATTGGACTTTGTGAGTATTATTAACACCTCAATAACTCTGCTTCATTGTTCTGGTTTTCTTTTCTCTGGAAATTGTATATAATTGAATTTGTGTTATGCAGATTCAAGCTTTGTGCCACCATTGATATATTTTGTGCTTGGGAGTTCTAGACATCTTAGCATCGGTCCAGCCTCTATAGCATCTCGGCATGGGCACGATGCTGAGCGAAACAATTTCTTACACTGAAGAGCCTATTCTGTATCTTCAATTGGCTTTCACTGACGATATTTTAGATGCATTTTGTTTTTCCTTTGGATTACAGTTTGTATTGTTAATTTAAGCCCAGAGCTTTGTATGGTCGATGATATTTTAGATGTATTTTATTTATCTTTTGGATTACAGTTTGTACCGTTGATTTAAGTCAAGAACTTTGTATTATTGTCAACAGTCCTTTTTTATTATAAAAACTCATTAGGATTGTGTGTCTTCTAATATATAATTACAAGACTGAACTCGAGGTATGATCTTTACTGGAATTAAGGTAAGGTACAAAATGATACCTAGCGAGTTTTTTTTTGGCGTTTAGGAGGCCTCATTGTTCCTTTCCTCGGATTCTCCGGAGTTTTAGTCTCCATTTTCGGCTGCAAGCATTTTGAGGACCAACTATAAGTAAGCAATTGTTAGGAGAGATCATTCCATGAACCAACAGAACATAAGCTTTGGAAAGCCATCAATTGGCAAACAGTATTAAAGAGGCATTATTTTGAATATAAAATAATGATGACTTTGTGCAAAACCCATGTCCCAAGAAATATCATGCTCAATCAAGAGTAAGAACATATAAACCAATGATTATTCAGTCTTCTAACAGTATCAAGCAAGAATGATCAATCACAGAAAGAGCCAAGTCCCTCGGCATACTGCATGTGCAAATGTAGTCAAAATACAAATCACTAAGTTTAAATAGGAGGAAAGCATAATGATTTTCATGTCTTAAAAATTTTCAATTTTATTTCATATATTGGTCTTCTAATATTATAATTTTTAAAACTGTTCAAAAATTCCAATTGAAAATAAAAAATAAAAAAAAAATTTCGTCAAATTCATAATTGCATTTCCAAAATTCTTAAAAACCGTTTTCAAATAATCGAAATTCAAGAACGATCTACACATTCTCCATAAAACACAGCATTTACTTCTCAAGTAAAATGTATGATCTTAATTCATAAATAAGAACATCAAATGATGCTAAAAGTACCTATAATGTGGAGGGAGGGGCACTTGACTGGAGAGGAAAATGCATTAGCAGCAAGCTTGGGCAACCCAAACTTAGATCCTCCAAACTTAGCCCCTGATATTATTATCACAAATTTTATCTTTGGAACCTTTGTAAGAGCCACTCCCTCCGATTGCATTCCCGGCAAGGCCGCCGTCAAAATAGCCCCCTATAATTCATCACCGGCTACATAAATTAAAATTAACTTATAGGTATTAGTCCAGATGGTACGATCTCTTCTCCCCAAAGTAGAGACCTGGTGTTCCAGCCCTTATAGGGCAATAATGTGAGTGTGAAAAAAAAAAAAAATCTAAATACAGAAAAAATCTAGAAGGAAAGAAAATTTCAAAGCCAACCCACCTGGGAAAATCCTAGTACACCATCAAAAGGTCCATGCTTTATCATATAATCTTCTAGGTATGCTAGACATTCTTCAAAATTGTAGTACTCTGTATAGTCCTGTGAGAACAATATAACTCACATATGTATATATTAATTGACATTATTTTGCATCTACATTTATATTATGTGTCTACTTGAAATTGAGGAAGTGAGAAAGATTTAACCTGGTTAGCTTGGAACCATTCATAGTAAGGAGGATCAAAGATGCCTTCTACATCGGACTTTCCTCCGGCGGGATAAGGCGCGTCGAGGAACACAAGGTCCAACTTTCCGAGCATGGTCTCCGGCCATCGGCCGACCAGTTTCTTGAGGATGGCAGCACTTGTTCTGAAGCCATGGAGGCAGAGAATTCTGGGTTTCCTTTGGATTTGATTTTCCATCTCAAAGTGTTTGGTTCCCATTTCACTGGATTGGTGGGGTGTTTGGAAAATGATATAAGTTCAGGAACTGTACGAGACTCTTTACTCTTTGCCAACTTGGGTAGTTGGGCGAAGGACAGAGGAGTAGCACACTAGTGGGGATAGGTAGGTAACAAGCCATTAAATTTGTTGAAGGGTTGATATGGAAATTTATAGATATTGACCTTCAAAATGGAAAATCTATAATGAGATTAGCTCTACCGATCCTCTCAATTATAATGAAGCCGTGACTCATGATATATCTTTCGAATTCGAAGATACCGGGTGATATACGAAAGGTGCAATCACTCTAGCATCAATCATAATAGTGACACTTACGCCTCCACTCACATTCCCTCAATTGGCATCTCCAAGATCAAAATCAGTGTCCTTTTTCTATCCTATTGCATTGGTTATTAATTACTTATTCACTAAAATTTTATTTTTTTTTTTTAATTTTTTGGGTAAATAAAAATCCTACCTTATTTTAATCCAACTATGAAATTTTCATCAAGCTGATAAATAAAAAGGTCCAATTATGTTAATAAGAGTTTTTGTTTTTTTTTAAAAAAAAAAGGTAAATAAGGAACACCTCTTTTCTTGGGAATATCCTGATATTTTTACTTTTACTAAAGTACCTATTTGTTTTGGCGGGGACTCGAACTATTACCTTAAGTGATTACGGAAGGTAGAGGAGTTACGGTAGGTTACAGTCTTTGGTGCTGAGTGGTGATATGTTGATTTGTTTCAAGTTTTGCCAGAATAATATATATATATATTTTTGTATATTTTGGTTCCCAATTAAACTTTGTTAATGATGAGTTTCATGATTAAATTCGTTTTGGTGAAACGTTAAACGTGGTATTTTGCTTAAATTCTTTTTTTTTTTTCCTTTTTTTTATCTTTTTCCTGTAACTATTTGGTTAAAATTCATTACTGCCTAAACACAGGTTTCTACAAAAACAAGCAATTTAGATTGTAGTAAGATAAATTAAAATCCCAATAAGATTCAAAGTACTATTTTAACCTTAATTTGTTGACTTGATGGTGCATCTCATTGGGTTTTCTGGCCCAAAAGAAGCCCAGGATACATTAGAAGCAGTTGAAGAGTCTCCTCCAAAGCCCAATGAATGTTGAAGGTCACCCAACGGACCTTTAAGGCTTATATATATATATATATTTTGTTTTTCATCATTCATTCACGTCACTTTTTAAAATATCATTAATTAATATAGTATGTTGTATTTTTTATTTGATATTCAGTGTGATATATTTTATAATATTTGACAAAGTTCATCAAGATTGTGACAATGTAAAGTACATTATTCAATTCTCATCCCACCTCGACATGAAATTGAAGAGAAACTCTTGACAGACCTAACATTTGGTGTTTCGCAAACCTAAGCAGCATTTTATGGTGTCTACTACTTGATTGTTAGTGCTTGTAATAATATAATATATGTATATTGTTTTAAATAATACATTGTCTTTTCATTTCTATTTTCAATAGGCATTTTCATCGCATTCTCAAACAATACTTTTCACTTTGTACTTGCACCCAAAGAGCCCATACACACGAGTGTATTTTAAGTCTTTAACAACTATTAGGTAATATAAATAAATATTATTTTCAAGTCGAGAAAAGTAGCAAAGATTAAAGGAAAACTCATGGTCCAGTACCTCTCTTTTTGTGGTTCGCATTCTCAATGCAGACGCGGTGAACCAAAATTTAGAAAATTTTAAAACAATTAAGAATATATCAATAAACTAATATATAACTGAAGTCGGAAAATTTTAAATTAATCTTAATCCAGACTCGAATTGAGTTTCTTTTTTCTAATAATTTGAGAATTGATTATTACCGAGCCCACGGTGAGTTGGATGACACACATATTCAACATCCAACCACTTCAATACCCCATGTGGTCCAAATTAAATTTCAAACCCTTCTTATATTGACTATTTTTCAAAATCAAGACCAACCCGACAAGTGCGGAAATCAAGCACGACCGGTGATATTTGTCATTCTTGGCTGGGTTGTGTGAGGCCCGGTCGAACCTTCTGTGAGATGGGCCATGTCTGAGTGACTTTATCGAAGGTCTAACAGTGAGCTTCTACGGACTCCGTCATTCATGCGTCTAATTACGTGTGATCACCTTTATTGTCACACACTTGAACGTCAACAATTGTGTGTGTGGTGTGTGAGAGAGAGAAAGGGAGGTTAATCACATGGTTGTCCACCCCACTTCGTGACAGCCCCCAGAAACGAGTAAGTTAGGCTGTACTTTTTGGAAAGTCAACTTTCCCCAAAAAAATAAAAAAAAAAATTATATATATATATATGACGCATTTATTTATTTATTATTAAGGAAAGTCCACCCTGCCACACTAAAACCAATACTTATATAGGAGTCTCATTTTTTAATCATATTCGATCTGAGATAAGTCCTCTGATATTTTGGCATTAAAAAAAAAAAATGCAATGCACATAACTAAATAATAATAATAGATAAATAAATTATAAATATAAATAATACTTATTACGATTGCTAGTCTTTGATAAATGATAAGCTTTTATTTATATATATATATATATATATATATTAATGCATCTACTCAAGAATAACTTAAGTAATAATTAGTTAATAGAAAGAAAAGAAAAAAACATAGAAGTCTATAAGATGGTAGGAGAAAATTTTTATTTTGCCTATGGGTTTATTTTCCAACAATAATTTTGCATTATTTAATATATTGTAAGAGAAAACAAGAAAAAAAAAATGATTTAATAAGAGAGGTGATTTAATATAATTAGGTAACAATTAATGTTAATTCTTAATTTAATATAAAGTAGAAAAGGTGTTTGAATATAAATGTAATTCATTGTGAAGGTTTTATAATTTATATAAAAAAAATAAAATGAATACAAAAGATATTAGTGATACTTTTTAAATTTAAAAATAAAAAGATATTACGGAGTAAAATGTATATAAAAATAAAAAAAAGTATAGACTTCTAATAGTAGCATAGATATAGATATAAATTTACATTCAAGTTTGTTAGCAACGATTAGAAATTATCTTTTTGATTTTTTTCTTAGTATATATGCCGACTTGCCTTCGCAGTTTGCAAGAGAACCGGTCCGATTTTATCAAGGACTCGCACTTTGCTATATATATATTGTTTGTTATGAATTGAAAATAAAAAAATATTCCACTCCGCCACACTAAAACCAAAACTCATATAGGAGTCTCATTTTTTAATCATATTCGATCTGAGATAAGTCCTTTAATATTTTGGCATAAAAAAAAAATGCAATTCACATAACTAAAAAATAATAATAGATAAATAAATTATAAATATAAATAATACTTATTACGAATGCTAGTCTTTGATAAATGATAAGCTTTTATTTATATATATATATATCTTAATGCATCTACTCAAGAATAACTTAAGTAATAATTAGTTAATAGAAAGAAAAAAAAAAAAATAGAAGTCTATAAGATGGTAGGAGGAAATTTTTATTTTGCCTATGGGTTTATTTTCCAACAATAATTTTGTATTATTTAATATATGGTAAGAGAAAACAAGGAAAAAAAAACGATTTAATAAGAGAGGTGATTTAATATAATTAGGTAACAATTAATGTTAATTCTTAATTTAATATAAAGTAGAAAAGGTGTTTGAATATAAATGTAATTCATTGTGAAGGTTTTATAATTTATATAAAAAAAATAAAATGAATACAAAAGATATTAGTGACACTTTTTAAATTTAAAAATAAAAAGATATTACGGAGTAAAATGTATATAAAAATAAAAAAAGTATAGACTTCTAATAGTAGCATAGATATAGATATAAATTTACATTCAAGTTTGTTAGCAACGGTTAGAAATTATCTTTTTGATTTTTTTCTTAGTATATATGCCGACTTACCTTTGCAGTTTGCTAGAGAACCGGTCCGATTTTATCAAGGACTCGCACTTTGCTATATATATATTACCCCCCCCCCCCCCCCCCCAACCTTATATTTATAGCTCCTCCCCTGATTACCTAATTGATAGAGTATCCGGATTTCCCTAGTGGATGTGTCTATGTTTGAGCTCCTATTCTTCTTACTTTGGCAGGATAAAAAAATAAAAATAAATTATGAGGATCAAGTTAGCTAGTTTGCAATATAAACAACCGATCCGATACCAGTTCAACCAGTTTTCCCATTAAATCATGATTGTTGGTTCTTTTTATTTTTGTCTTTCACTCCACCATGCTCGGTTCAGTAATTTCTTGCTTGCAAAAATAAATTATCTTGCACAAAAACTCCAAAAACTTGGGATCTAAGCTCAAAATTTGTATCTTGGACATCAAAAGTTTGAAATAATCCACCAGCTTTGAAATTTATTTGTTTTTCCACTTGGGTTTTATTTTTTAAAAAAAATTTAGTTAATTTTTGGATTTAATTTATATAATCATTTTTTTAAAATTCCATAATGAGAGATTTTATGTGATAAGACATGTCATAATTTTGTAAAATTTAGTTAATTTCTGGATTTAATTTTTATTTTCAGTTTTTTTAAAAAAAATTCCACTTGTAAATGGGAGCTTTTATGTGACAGACATGTCATATATGTTATGATTCAATTTTTTTTTACTCATATATTGGTTTTGACTAATTTATTTTAAATTTTAGATTTTTTTTTTTTATTTATTTATTTTAAATTTGACTGGTAAAGAGGAACTTTTATCTGATGGATTATATCAGTTACTCTAATTGTGTTAAATTATGTTTAAAATATATTAAATAAAAAGCAATAAAATGCACTAAAAATCTATTTTTATTGAATTATGTCGTAAAAACTTGTGTATCACTGCAATTTAGGCTCTATGCCCGAGGTTGAAAAACTTACTTCACGATTGCGATAAACAATTTTTATGCTGATACGGGTGTGTTTTGTAAAGCAAATATTCTTTGAATCTTATTTGTAGATAATAGTTTTTAGAATGTTGTTAATTGAAATCTTAAATTCTAGTATTTTTTAAGTATTTGAATTTAAAAATTATACTCATAATTTGAATTAGATAATATGTTTAAAAATTAAACTAGATGGAGAGAAGAGAATCGAGAGATTATACCATTAAATTAGACTCTCTTTCATTATATATTTGTGTTATCAAAATTT